ACACACAGACACACACACACAGACACACTCACACACATACAGAAACACACACACACACACACACACAGACACAGACACACACACTCACACATACAAACACACACACAGACACACACACACAGACACACACACACAGATACACAAACACACACAGATACACACACACAGACACACACAGACACACACACACAGACACACACACACACATACACACACACACAGACACACACACACACACTCACTGCATCATGGCCTTGGTCTTCCTGGCTGGGTCGTCGGGCCGGAAGTTCTTGTATTCCTCCACTTCCTTCTCCATAGACAGCAGCTGAGACTGCAGCTTGTTGCGTAGGGAGGGCAGCGTGTCGCGGATGTGATTGGTCAGCTGCTGGTTCAGAACTTTCTGGAGGAACGGAGTCCCCAGCCGGTCTGCCATGTGCCTGTAGCATGGGAAAATTCATCATAATGAACATCCTTTTCATACTCATAATGTACATCCTTTTCATACTCATAATGTACATCATTTTCATTATCATAATAATGTACATCATTTTCATTATCATAATAACGGAGATAATTGTCATAATAATAATAAAGTACATAGCTTTCATAATCATAATAACGTACATAACTTTCATAATAATAATAATAATAATGTAGATCTTTTTCATAAAAGTAATAATGCAGATCATTTCCATACAACAATAATGTAGACCATGTTCACAGCGCCTCCTCCTCTGACCACACAGCTCTAGGCTTACCATCAGGGAAACACACAGCTCTAGGCTTACCATCAGGGAAACACACAGCTCTAGGCTTACCATCAGGGAAACACACAGCTCTAGGCTTACCATCAGGGAAACACACAGCTTTAGGCTTACCATCAGGGAAACTGAGACAAGCGACAGGAAACTAGTACCACCAAGTTCTGTCCCTTGCCTGGAAGGCACAACTCACTGCTGCAATGACTTGAAACTGAAAAAGCTAGACCGGTGCAGCCCAGGTCTTTTCTACAATTTACCAGTATGACGGGTGAGTGTGTCCTCATTTACCTGTAGGAGGGGTGAGTGTGTCCTCATTTACCTGTAGGAGGGGTGAGTGTGTCCTCATTTACCTGTAGGAGGGGTGAGTGTGTCCTC